AAATATTTTTATAAATTAAAGTTTAAATAAATTTGTTTGTTAAAAGAAACAAATTAATTTTTATATATAATAAAATTTGCATAATAAACTATAAACAACACATCTTAGTAGTTATAAATAACTATAATTTATTAAAAATATAAAAAGAGTCATAAAAATTTAATTTAAAGTCTTATCTCTATAGGATTGTTTTAATAGTCTCTCATATTTATCTTTTAACTTAGCGTAGGCTCTCTTATTATGTTCTGAATCAATTAATTCAATTTTAAGAGTAGAAATAACAGTCTCTAAATCAGATGCTTTATTTTTCTCTTTATTATACTCATCGGTAAGTTTGTTAACCAATTTAATAGATTCTTTATTCTTTTTAATATAACTTTCTTGTGACTTTCTCAACAATCTTTCAGATTTAGCAAGGTTAATTATAAATTTATAGTTATAAGCAAAGAAAAGTGATCCTAAAGCAATGAAAGTATTAATCAACTGATAAATTGGAACTAAAGATTCGTTTTTAATTGATCTAGTAATAGTAATTATAGAACCAAATAAACTCAAGCCATTTAAGTACATAATGTTAATCAAATTATTTCTATAAAGTACTATATAATTCATAACATGACTGATATCATATTTGATATAAATAAGTACATTCATAAAGAGATTCAAAGAAAATACTAAGAAGTTAACTAATGAAATGATATTCTCAATGATATTAAGAATAAATCCCCAGAGAGTAACAAACAATTTTATAAACATTAGGGCTATAAAAACAACTAACTAAAAAATTTAATTAAAAAATATCTTCATCATCTGAGAATGAACTGAGCTCTTCTAAAACATCCTCATCATAATCCGGTACTTCTATAGCATATCTTAATATTCCACCTATTCCACCAAATCCTTCAACAAACTGAGAACCTTCAGCACTTTTATCACTAACAAAGACTAATTTACATCCAAAATCTTTATAATGTTCTGCTATCCAATCAACAAACTCTTCATCTTCATGATAAAGTTCAACATTCTCATAAACTATTAAAATCTCAACTGCTCCCATCTCAAGTGCATTTATCGTATCTTTATAACCAAAACAGTACTTCTGTGTATCCATATTTACTTCAAATAGAAAATTTTTTAAAACTTTCTTTTCCTTTGTGAATTTAACATCTTTAAGTACGTCTTCTGATAATTCAATTGCTTGATTAAGTCCATTCTTACCTCCATAATTTGTATCTACTGTGTTAATACAGTTAATTCTTGGGTCGAGTGTTTTCTTTACTTCATCTTTTAAGTATGTATTTCCTGCTATTATAAGTCCCTCAACATTAGGTATTGAGTCTGTTAAATATAACGATACAATTATTTCATTTATCTTTTTAATATAAGCATTTCTCTTTTCTATTCTTAATCTAGCAAATCTAACTGATGATTGTCCTCCCCTACTATGTTTCTTAGGTAGGTTTTCAGATATTGTCATTAATACATCCGGTGTGTTACCTTGAAGTGTTGCAAATAATGCTCCTGTTCCATCAGCTACAACTATACCATACTTTGTCTCATCTTCAAATAATTTAAGTAACTCTTCTATATGGAACTTACTATCACACATATACAAAGATGTATTGATTGGTTTAATTGGTTCTATTGCGTGTGATACTTTTTTAATCTTTCCTTCTGAATTTAAAATTTCTCCCACAAATAACCCTAGTCCATTATTTGGTATTGTATTGAATGTTTTTAATTTATTTGCAGTTGATGTAACTGCCTGTAACACCGATAATCTATTTGATTTACTCTTAATATTTGATGCTGACCCTTGCTCATCAACCAACATTTTTTGTATATTTGGTATTTGGTCTTTTGGTGGTATTAGTAATGAAATCATACTTGTTCCATTTCCTTTAGCATCTCTTAGCTTTTTTAATAACTTTTTCTGTCTAAATGCTTGTATTTCATCAAAAACCGTCATTACTTATTTAAAGATTTGTTTGAAAGGATTGTTAAATTTTTTATTAAAATTTTTGTTTCTTTATTTTCATTCTAGTTATAATTTCCTTAATTTGATTCTTCTTTTCATTATCATTTGTTAATTTGTATGCTCTCCTATAAAAGTCAATTGATTCATTTAATTCATTATTTTGAATACATGCTTCTCCTAATGAGTTATACAATTCTACTAATGTTTCATTATCTTCACAAATAGCTATAGCTTTCTTATATGCTTCCATTCCATCATTGAATTTATTATCTAAACATTCGATATCTCCTTGATATTTGTAAATCTTTAATAAAGCTTGGTTATCAAGAAATATTTCATTAAATTTAATCTTACATTCTTCTAGATAGTTCCAAGCTATTTCCAAATCTTCATTTTCTTCTTCAAAAACACCATCACTAATTCTCATATAAATATTATCAATTAGACATCCTGAATACTCTAATAATAAGTAATAGTGGGCTATATCGTCTTCATCTGTTTCATCTATTAATTTAATTAATATTTGTATTGCTTCTTCATAATTTCCATGATATTTATATATTTTTACTTCTTTTAGTTCCGGATAAACATTTAAATCCATTTTAATCAGAATTTCTTACTTTATTTGTTTTTATAATTTTTATAATTTTTTTGATTAAATGAACGGTAATAATTATGAAGGAATCACCATTAGATATTTGATAGAAAATCATTTAAAGAGGCGAGCTGTTGAATTTAGTGATTTAAAAAAGCTTTTTGATGTTAATAGTGTTAAAATGGAAGAAATTCTTGAGTCAGTTAAAGAGTATTTAATTAGACTTAGATTGGAGTTAGTTAAAGTTGCTATTGATAAGAGTGTTGGAAAAAATAAAACAATTACGACTTATAAATATTTTCTAAAAAAGATGATTAGTGCTGATGATAAACATAAAGAAGTTACTTTAGATGATAAAAGATTATATACCTTATTTGCCTTGATTCAGATTAATAACAACAAGATAAAAGAAGAATATTTAGAAGGTTGTAGTTTATTTAAATCAATTAGTATAAATGAATGGTTAAAAAAGATTAAAGGAGATGGTTATATTAAAACAGAAGTTATTGAAACAGAAGTTTGGTTTACTACTAATTGGAGGTATGAAATTGAATATGGAGATTTCTTTAATGTAATTGATTTCTTTAAAGGTGTTATTAATAATAAAGTATAAAAAAAATATTTTTTATATAATTAAATAATCAACAAAACTTTTTTTAAGTTATAATAATCAACAAAACCCACAGAAGACAAAGAAACTAACTTATTCAACCTATCTATAGAAATGATTTTTATCTCTATTCCATTTTCTCTTCATCTATCTTGTCAATATTAATTGTCTTGTTTTCTAACTCTCTATCTGTTAAAAATATAAAATTTTTTATGACAAATTTATAGTCAGATTTGTTAATTTCTTTTCAAAAACATTCATTCAATAAACTAGTTCAATATGTTTAATTACATATTACGACAATTTAAATAACTTTTCTTTTATTCTATTAAAACTTAAAAAATTATATTCAATTAATATATGAATTGTTTGATACTTTTAAAGATTAAACCATATATTTTTTAGTAAATTATTAAAGTGTATGATTATTAAAATTAAACACAAAATCTTTACATACTTGATTTAAATACATTATTGTTTTTAATTATTTTATCAATCTTTATATTCTATTTAATTAATCATAAAGTCATTGATTTTGAAATTATTAAATAATTTTAAAATTTTATATTTAAGAAAATTAATCTATTGTTATTTAAGTTGTTAAATTACAACCAACTTATAAAATAAATATTTTAAAAATACACAAACTTTTTTATCATTAAATCTTATGAAACAAAAAAATATAAATTTATCAATTTTTATAAAAATAACTAGTTTTTTATTTAATATTTTAATCCTTAAGATTATGAATTAATACAAAAAGAATTTAATAACAATAAGCTAGTTAATAACAATAAATTAATGAATAAAACATTCCATAACATAAACATAAACTTAAAATTAAAAAGTATAATATAAATTCTTTAATTAATATAAAATTAATTAAAAATGATACTTATTTAAATAAATAAAACTATAATTACAACAAAGTTTTATAAATTAAAATATTTATAATTATAAAAATCTAAACTGCTAAATATTCCTTATTTTATATCACTATAATCAATAAAAATGTTAAAATTATACTTTTTATAATAAAAAATTTATATTGATTAATTTAAAGTGAATAAAAATTAAAAATCAATTAATGATGTAATTATTTAATTAGAATAGAAAATCTAATATATTTTTTATATAAATTTTTTATTTAGCCCATAAAAACAATGTCTGAAACATATATTGAAAAATTTAATATCAATGAAGAATTATTAAACACAATGATGGAAGAACAAACAAAAACATGGAATTTTTTACAAATGTCAAGCACTGAAGAAAAGCTTAAATCATACGCAGATAACTTTAGTATGGTCAATAAAATACAGACAGCACCAGAACTTCTGTATGTTATTGATGCATTAGAGAAGGAAACATTGTCTGAGCTGGATGATTTGTTTTTTTTCAAAGAAGGATACCTACCACTGGCTGAGAACCCAAATAACCTGGGTGGTGGTAGAATTATATTTGAGGTGAGCAAGTCTACAGATCTTAGTGAATTTTTCTTCAAATCACTTTGTTTATGTTTTTCAGAAGTATTTGATGGATTAACAGGAGTAGCTTATAATGACAAAGGCAAAGATCACAGAGTAGTATTGTGGTTTAATGACATTGAAGATTATGACATGATATTGAGTGGGTGGAAGGAATTAAACAACTGTCCATTTGGTAATTTTAACTTAAGAATACACAGAAAGTACAGTCAATTCTTCACAAAGGGGTACAACGTTAAAAAGTCATTTCAGAACAAAAGACATCACTATTAAAGTAAAATAAACTTCTGAGATTAATTTATTAAACGTTATCATTTGTTATCATATTAACCTCGTCTTCATTAATCTTATTACTGTCTTCTTCTTGCTTTGATAAATCTTTCTTTAAAAAGTAATATAAAAGCGCACCAATTACTGCCATAACACCAATCGTAAAGAAGACACCTATTAAAATTTTCGTAAACTTTTTTAAAAAGTTTTCAAATTTTTCTGCCCATGCTTTAACATTAGGATCATCATCTTTTAAATCTTTTTTGTATTTAATCCAAAATAAAGAAAGTCCTACAATAAGAATAGCTGCTATTAAACTAGCTATAAGAACTTTTTTAAAATTTATACCCTTTTTCTTCTTTTTTATTTGTAAAACATTTTCTAATTGTTTCACTTCTAATTCTTTTGCTGTTAAATCAGGATCGATATTCTTTTCTTTTAATTCTTCTTCAATTCCAACTTGAACTTTGTTGTCCTCTTCTTTATTATCTTGTCCAAATAAAGCCATTTATAGAGGTTAAAAAATTTTGTAAAATTTATTTTTAAAAAGGGGCTATTTAATGAAAAATAAATAACATTTGATAATTTGACAGTTGTTAAAAATTTTTATTTAAATTTATTTTATACTATTTTTATTTGCCTTTAAATTTATATCAAATTGCTAATTTTGTTATTTGATCATTTTTTACCCCTTTTGAACTATAAATTAAAATTAAAAACTTACCCTTTATAAATATGAGACAAAGAAATAAATCATATTCTGGTAAGTCAGTTAACAAATCACCAAAAAGTAAGAAATTAAG